CTTAGACTTATATACCACTTTATAATGCTTTACAGCCCTCTCTCAGTAGTTTACAGAGTCAGCATATTTCCCCCAACAATTTGGCTCCTCATTTTATACCGACCTCAGAAGGATAGAAGGCTTAGTCAACCTTGAGCCTGGTGTGATTCAAACTGCCAAATTGCAGGCAGCAGAAGTAGCCTGCAGTACTGAACTCTAACTACTGCGCCACCACGGCTCCGAGTTAAGGTCAGTCTTCAGAGCCATTTCCTGGAGACTTGTGTTCCAGAAGTCAATAGGCTACTAAGGCTGATGCCGCAAAGGTTCTGCCTCTGATCCACAATGATATTGTACAATGCCATTGAAAAGCCAAGGCCTTTCAGAAGTCAGTGAAGGACTAGAGATCCACTGGCTTTTTTTTTTTTCTGTTACCTTTCGCATCTGGATTCAAAAGGAAAAATACCTATGCTTCATGGAAGACGGGTTATTAACAAGTTAAAACTTTTTATCGTGATGTCTATGGAGATTCTTAGTCCTCCAGGTCATGGTTGTCCCATGGGTGCTTTTTCAAGAGCTGAAGAAGTTCTTGCAAAACATATTCAAAGAAAAACCAGAAAGTCCAATTGCCTCTTGAAATAAAGCACCTTTGGGTTTTTATCTTGATGTAATAATACATGCTGTCAAGACTGCTTTTCTTTCCAAGAGAGCTCAGGGCAGTTTCTGAGAGAAGAATTTTAAAAAAATGTAAATGAAACCATCACATTAAAAGTTTGTCAAAAATAAATATTTACATAATTCGGGCGGGGGCTACTTTGTCAGTCATATTCAAGATGGCACAGAAGAAGGAATACTAAACCAGAATTAAGCATTTTTCCTAAAGGCTGTAATTTAAGGTACAGCATTTTTCAAAATCAGCCCTTGGCATGTCCAATTAAAACTTGCAAGAAGAAAATAATGTATCTATTGGTATTTTATTCCCACTATGATGGCTCTGTGGACAGGTGGGAAGATAAATCAGCTTAAATGTTTCTTTTCAGTGTGGTTAACTGAGCTAGAAGGGTTAATACTGTATCTGTGTTAAAAGGTTTCTGCATAAATTCTCTTCCCAGTTACCGTGCTGCAAAAAATAAGTCATGATACATGTCTTGACAAACCAGATCATTTTTATGTATTTCTTGGCGCAGCAAATGTCTAAAGAAGTTTCTGAAATGGAAGAAGAACTCGGTAGCACAGAGGTTATGTTACAAGAGTTGGAACATAAGAACATTGAGGTGGAACAGTATTTGGAACGGTGCTCATATGTTGATTTGCAAGGCTTTGAGGCAACAATAAAGCAAAATATTGAAAAGTTTCAGTCCATTATTCAATTTCTACGGCCCAAAGCTCAGGTACGAAATGCAGATTTAAAAGGTGTAGCACAATATTATTGTTTTTGCCTTGTTAAGGGTGCGCTTGGAGATAATGCTGTACATGTAGTTGCGTGTTTCTTTTCTTCTTTTTTTTTTTTGTAAATTTTATTTGAGTTTTCACAAAAAGAAAAGAAATAATATTAAAACATCTTTTTTGAAAGCAGCATAATCTTGGGTTACATTTCTTCATACAGACGCAAATTCAGGTTCATGCTCATTTTTATATTCTATTCCATATCTTATTACTATTTTACATTTTCTACATGGCTTCTCCCCTCTTTTAATTTCCTCAATTTTATTTTATTTATTTCATCTCAATTCAAATCATTATATTTATATTTTTTGTCTGTCCTGTTTCAATTGTCCATTATCTTTTCTCATTAAACAAAATTTCTCCTGTAGTTACTGATTGGAGTATGACGCCTTTATATCTTTCCCCTAAAGTTATAACACTTAATATAATACAAAACTTCCATTCGGATTCTGCTTGGTACATTCTTAAACTACACACAGTATTCTTGAAAAAAAGAAAAGAAAAAATTATAAATGTATATAATTAAAACAACATTCCATTCCAATTCAATTCTATCATTAATATTAATATTCATTAAAGTCTTAACATTTTTCACGTTACTTTTCAGTTAAATATCATACTTCTGTGGGAACAATTATAAACTTTCCATAGTTAATTTCCCCCCCACCTTCACTTATATTTTATAAAACATTGACTAATTAAAATGTTCCCATTCCTTCCTAATTCAATTTTCTCATTTATTTTATTTCATTTACTTTATTCACAAACATTTCACTAAATTACACTAACTATTTTATCCCTCATTCTAATCATATGTTGTTTCCAATTTTCTACAGTTATTTCTATTACAAATATAACAATACAATCTTATGTACCTTTACAGAATCCCTTTTTCAGTTAGATTTTCACCCATTACCTCTAAATAGGTCCTGTTTCTTTATATCTTGCTCTGGACCTTTGTAACTTCTTTTCCTTTCCTTCTTCCCTCTCTTCTTCTCTCTCCCGTTTTTACTCCTTTGTCTCTCTACCTCTATTTCCCTCTTCTGTATTCCCCTTTTCTGATGCTTTCCAGTATTATACTTATTTTTCCAACTATTTTTCTTTTCTTTGGTTGCTTTTTTAAGTCTTAAATTCTCCATCCTCTTTCCCCCCTTTCCTTTTTCTTCCCCACATAAAATTGCTTGTTCATTAAAGATGGCTTCTTCTTTGTCTTCTTGTTTTGCAGTCTTTTCTTGTTGTTTCTCATAGTTCCAAATCTCCATTTCTAAGAATTGAAAAATGAAGCCAAAACAAACCTTCCCTTCTTGTGCATCTTGTTTGTACTTTTTAAGTTCCATTTTCAATTCATCCAAAAGTGATGCCATTGTAGAAATTTTTAAACAACCACCCGATTGATTTTAATCATTCAAATATAATAACCAAAAATCCAAAAGTCACCAAGTAATCCAAATACACACAGACTGTTTCTTTTTGTGCTTTCTTTTTGTTTCCACTTTCTCTTCCTGGGGTTACTATTTAGTTGCAAAGTTTCAGTTAAAATGTATCTTTTAGAAGTCTTATTGAAATTTTACTTTAGATTCTTTTAAAGTCCAGGCAGTCTCCTCCCTCTTCCAGATCCTGCCCTTATTCTTTTTCTCTCTCTTCCTGCTTATAGAAGAAAAAGTTTTTAATATCCAAAAATCTTTATTATCCCTTTGGCATTTAGTTATATTTTCAGCTTAATTGCCTATTGATGCCAAAGCGGATTTTTCCAATTTCTTATTCTTAGTTGTCAATATAAGGAAGGAGAGAGAAGGAAAAAAAAAAGCCAAACCTTTCCCGTTTCACTTTCTTTCGCTGCTTCCAACTCTTCTTTGGGAGTGATGTTATTTCTTGTAAAATTTAAATTCCAGGGTACCTTAGTTGTTGCTTTTTCAACTTAGCCCAGTCAGCCAAAACTTTCACTTCTTATCTTCCTCCTGCACGTTCTTTCCCGGTCGAGTTCTTCTTTGAGGTGGCCATTTCTGACCACCTCTCCTACCGCCTTTGGGAAAGGGAGTAATGGCCAGCTGAGGAGAGATGCGGCTCTCCTCGACCCTGCTGGCGGTCCCCCCCCTCTTCACCAACTCTACGGGGTGGCTTAGCCCTGAAACCAGCCAGCTCGGGGCGCTCCAGTGGCAAGCCCAGGCAGAAACCATGCACGATCATAGATTCATGTCTGTTGCCGAAGTCCTTCAAACCAGAAGTCCGTAGTTGTGTGTTTCTTATAGTTTAATAATCCAGAGCAACTTGGATTATTGGACATGTTGGTTTAGTTTGCAGAAACTGTTCTGGTGTAATTGGATGACTGTAAGAGATAGCAATGTAACATACCTCCCTTAAGATCTATTGCTGCCTTTATATTACAGCCCTATTTTCAAGCTAGATCTGCGCTGGAAGCCATAAATGCCAATTACTGCAGAGAGATTGATGCTACTCTGAAAGCATGTAGAGAAGAAACAAAGGAACTGATTCTACAGTTAGATATGTTAGAAAAAGATCAAAAATCCTGTGGTGTTGCTAATACGTCACGAGAAGAAGAAAACCATAAGCTAAGATATAAACTGGAAGCAGCAGAACAAGATACAAAGGTGTGTTTTTGTTAAACTCCTATTTGACACCTCAGCCTGATGTCTCTTCATTTGTCTAATCTGATTAATGCTTAGTTCTTTTCTATGCAGCTTTTCCTGGTGTGCCATTTATTAAATTTCTATTTAGTCTCTGCTTTCCCAAATATATGATGTTCCCAAATCCATTCTAGTTCTTAAATAGGTTTCCTGAGAGAATAAGTTTTGTCCAACTTTTTTAGTTGAAAAGAACAGATGATAGAAAAATTAGTTCATCAATGAGGCAGACTTTGACAAATCATGACATTTTGATTTAAAATAAATCTATAAGATGGTGCTTATAAATCTGTGGTTGCAGGAAACATGATATTGGGTAATCTCTGCTCTATAAAAATAAAGAGTGTTTTCCCAATAGATGCATGAAATGGCACTGGGCTACTTTTTATAAATGAGGAAGTACACTGTTGGGAATTAGTTTTGCTTATATTCGTCTTCCTTTGATGCTGCATCTCTTACTATTCTAGTAGAAATGGTTTGTTTTTCTGATCGTTTTCACTGTTTTCAGGCCACACTTTTTTTATAAAGAGCCCAGCATTCAAAATATTGGAATTATTGTGATCTTCAGAGCTTCAGACCCAATTAACTCTACATGTATCAGTTATCACCAATAACAGCTAAACATTTTTTCCACCTTTGAAAATAAAATCTGGAAGTGGTGTTCCATTTTCTAATAACACACTTTCTTTTTCAAAGAATCTGCAGTTGAAAATCCAAGAACTAGAAAGCATAATAAATGAAGGAAGTAAAAATCTCCAGGAAAAAGAGAAAACAATAGCCATACTGGAAAGGAAACTTGATGTGAAAGCTTCCAGGAATGAAGTCATTAAGCTTCAAGCTGCATTAGAGGAAAAAGAAAATTGCTTAAGAAATGCATTAAGTGAGAGAGAAGCACTCAAGGTATTATATGTATTAACATAAGTGACTTCTCATGTTGGGAGTAAAATATTTATTCATGGGATTCACACAAATGTCTTAGATCTTCACATTTTCTCTCTGCAATTCCTATATAAGACTTATGCAATGTTCTGGGCTGCTGGACACTGGAAGGCAAGTTTATACAAAGGAATTATCAGCTCACAATGCTATGCTTCCTCCCAGCCTTGCTTGTGGCTAAACATACTCCTCCTCAAAGAAAATGAAAGTGCTCTACAACTTTGGCCCATTGTCTGGTGTTCTCTAGTATTTTTAATGCAATTCAGTTATTTGTGGAATGAAACCATGGAAGGACAATTTCCTGCAGATCAGATATGGCACCAACTGTGATTTGACAGGGTGCTAACTCTGATCTCTTGCTGGATCCAAACCTCCATCTGAAAGGGGTCCTGACATTATTACTTTGATCTGAAGAGGTATGTAGCTCGTTTTTACTAAAAGTCTGTTATCTAATATGTAGATATGATTTCATTTTCTAAAGTGCTTATTGGGCACTTGGAAATATACAACTGTTGTTGTCTTCTCAAGAGATCATGTTTTTCTTTTTCTTACTAGGCCCAGGTGGATAAAGGTGTTGGATTATATAAGGAGGAAATTGAAGGCCTGAGAACTCAGCTTGTTAAAGCCGAAATGGCAAAAATGAAACAATCCAAATTGTTTGATCGAGAGTAAGTTCCATTTCCTTGAAAAGGCAATTCTGTAGAGCACAGAGGTCAAACTCGTGGCGCCACGTTGCCATCATGTGACATATCACGATGTTTTTCCCCTTCGTGGAATTGGGATGATCCTAACCCCATGCATGGTGCATCTGGCCCACAGGCCACCAGTTTGACACACCCCTGCTATAGAGCAATAGACTCCACATTTAGACCTAAGGCATGGAGCATTAATCTAATATCTCTTTGCTCCCTAGAGAGATCCCTTGAGATGGCTTCTAGGACTTCAAGGTGTTTTTTTTAATTAATGCCTATATTTTTCAAGATTTTGGTCTACTCACCTGAAATTCCAAGTTAGAACTTTCTAAATTTCATAAGATCTCAGCCATTTTGAAAGTTTTAATTTCTGAACCTGAGCCACTAAGTAGAGGACTTTTGCAGACCATGTGTTGGGGATCAAGAGCTTAGAGCTTGCCTATTCAAGTGTGGGGGAACAATTTAAGAGAAGTATTGTACTACTATGCTTGAAAAATAATCCATAGTCCCAAATTGTTCTGCGTCCTCCATTCACAATCATTGTAGACTATTGTAATTGTATAATTGTAGTCTAACATCATTGATAATTTTAAAACTGAATCTTCACTGTTCTAGAATGGCAAATGCCAAAGCTCTGGCAGATCATCGGGAGGAACAGTTAAGAAAGTTGAAGGAAGAACTTCGTAAAGCAAGACAAGAACAGGATGCAACAGGTAAATACAAATCAGAGGATTATCTCTTGGCTATATGAAATGGGCTTTTAAGGTACAATGTTACAAAATTGATAGTCAAGCAGGAAAATACTTTCATCTTTCAAACACATTCTTTCATGTTTTCCAACTGCTAAAAAATAGTTTCAGGCCTATTTTGGCAAGGTCCTACTTGAATATATTTATGTACATACATTTCTATCAGTGCTAGCTCCTTTTAATCACCTCAATCATTTACAATCATAAAAGCCGGAAACCTCAAATCCTGTGATAAAATTCCCAAATTGAACCATAGTCTCTTAAATGTGTGGTTCCAAATTATACCATGTCATGAAATGAGGTGATTTTGAAAAAGTTGTGATGTTTGGATAGTAAATGTTGTCATTGGCAAAAGGCTTAACATGATGGATCTTCACCTTTTCAGTGATGTTTAACGAAGACCCTCCTCAGCCATTTAAACCAATTACTTGTGGTGGTGGTAGTGGAATTATACAGAATACCCATGTGCTAGTGTTAAAATCTAAGCATGCCAAGCTGGAAAAGGAATACACTCAACTCAAGAAAGAACACGAACTACTGTTGACGTAAGTCATCATATTCTGCCTGGAAATATAGCTTATCATGATCGTACATGTATGAATTTTTCACACAGAACAGGTAGTTATGTCTAAAAGACAATTAAGCTGTCCACACATTTGAAGATATCGGCCTGGCAAAATTGTGGGGCCAATGGTTAGCTTTGGCTTGCTTTATCAAACAAGCTTTGGCTTGTTTTATCAGATTTTGGGGATGCAAATGAAGTGTTGGCTGTTCTTCTGCCCCACTGATCTCCGATTCCGAAGGCAGCTGATAACTGTCAGGCGGCCCTGGCCCCATCTCTGCCTCCGATGCAGAGCACTCGTCAGAGCCTTCCCCAGACTCCAGGAGTGGGCCATGCTCCACCCCAACCTCACTGTCCAAATCTGCTGCAAGCTCTGCTGTCTGCGGCGGGCCACAACACTTCTTCAACTCTGAGCTGAGCTGAGAGCTGAAGAAGTTTCTTGGATGAGAAGTGAAACGTCTTCAAAAAAAGAAAGTTCAGTTGCCCTTTTTTGGGGGGGGGCGGGGGGGGAACACGACACACCTTTGGGACAACCATGACCTGGATGTCTGAGCCTCTCCACAAATTTCTTGCTTAGTAGTGGAAATTTTGGGTTCCACTGTGGTCACATGTCAAGGGCTACAGGTAATCCTTGACTTAAAACAGTTCATGCAGAGACCATTCAAAGTTATGACAGCGCTGAAAAAGGTGATTTAGCATTTTTCATACTTATGACTCTTCAACAGCCCCATGGTCACATGATCAAAATTCACTACCCGCTTCGCCACTGACAGATATTAATGACGGTTGCAGTGTTCCCAGAGGTCATGCAATCCCCTTTTGCAATCTTCTAACTAGCAAAGTCAGTGGGGAAGCCAGATTCACTTCACAACCACGTTACTAACTTAACAACTGCAGTGATTCAGTTAACAACTGTGGCAAGAAAGGTCATGAAATGGGGCAAAATTCACTTAACAACATTCCCGCTTAGCATCAGAAATTTTGGGCTCAGCTATGGTCAAGGACTACCTGTACCTATATTTTTCTAGATCCAAATGTTGGGAAATTACCAATTTTTAACAATTATGCATCAAAGTTCACAAAAAGGGTTTTGGGAGCTCACAGATTGCTCATCCCGTGATAAATCTTGAATGCATGGATAATAAAAGGACAAGCAGGCAAGTCTTGCAAAAAGCCATTTCTTAGAAAAAGAAAACGAATGGGCTGTACAGAATAAGAAAAAAAAAATATTATCTGGACACCCGGTGATTAAATATATCTAATGTATGTTTTAAGAAATGAGCATCTCTTGAAAGAAGAAGTTCAGAAATGGAAGGAGCGAGCTGTGAAGAGGAGGGAGCGAGCCTTGGGAGACACAGTGGAGGAGCATCAAATCAAATCTCCAAGGAAAGCACCAGCTTCATCACTTTTGGCACTGCCAGCCTCTCCCTGCAAGGAGTGCTCCATGCAGCCCATTTTGCCTTTGGACACACCACAGCCGATGCCATCGAACAGCCAATCGGTTTTTTTTGATAACTCGTGCTTAGGGATTACTGCAAGTAAGTAAGAGCATAACGCATTCTTAGATGCTAAGGCAAAAAGCCTGTTTTAGAGTAAGGCTGCGTTGTGATCACACAAAAAACTGCTGCGTTTGCCAGTTTGTTTTGAAAGGATGGGTTTCTGACCCATTTGCTTTTTCTATGGATTGCCAAATCCTACAAAATGTAATGACCAGCAGGAAAAATAATTCAGAAAATCATAGGATAGTTATTGATTATTCACTGCATGAAATAGGCAAGATGTCCCAAAGGTGCTTTTTTCAAGAGGCGACTGGACTTTCTAGTTTTTCTTTGAAGACGTTTCGCTTCTCCAGAAGCTTCTTCAGCTCTGACTGGATGGTGGGGATCCTTTCCATTCCCCACCATCCAATCAGAGCTGAAGAAGCTTTTTGCATGAGAAGTGAAATGTCTTCAAAGAAAAACCAGAAAGTCCAGTCGCCTCTTAAAAAAAACACCTTTGGGGCAACCATGACCTGGATGACTGAGAATCTCCCTAGAGGTAGCTAAAAGCATCTGATTTCATGAAATAATGTACTGGGTTTTTATATGAGGTTTAGAGGATGTCCTGTCCTGGCATCTCTCACCCGATAACTGATGTACCCACATGCTAACCTCATGTAACTGGAAGCAATAGAAAAAATATACAGTACAAGACAATTCTTGCACAAAGTAAGCTTGGATTGTCATAATCCTCCTGTACAACTTAGATGATGGTTAGGACGCTGTGCTGACAATTGACAGGCTCACGTTCGAGACTCGGTTCCTACTGCGGGATGGGATGAGTTCCTGTCACATACTGCTGACCCCGCAGTTTGAAAGCAACAGGTGATCATGAGTAGATGGGTGTGTAACACTTTGGTGGGAAACTTAACAGGAGTCTCCAAAAGAGTGTCCCCCAGGCAACAGTGATGTCACCGTTCAATCCATTCAACACAGAAGCACTTTGGTGGTCCCAACATGAATCTATAGTAGGTCTAAGAGAGCCATAGTTTAACTTGCCATTTAGTAAATTACATACCCAGGAAGTAGTGTACCACTACGTTATTTAAATAATCTGCTGATCTAATAAGGCTATTAATCTCAAATTAATAAGAATTAATAGGGTGATGTTTTAAAAATGGAACATTTCCAAACTTCTATCATCTCTAATCAACCTATTCTCTTGTGGTTATATTGTGTTACTTAAATATTTGTAGTTATTTTTATTAACTTAACCAGCAACTATTCTTTCTAACAGACACAGAATCTTGCAGAGCAGAATCTGAAGAAAATAACTTCAACAACTGGCTTTCATCAGAAGATAAAGCAGATGTTTCTAACTGCAAGACTCAGTAACAGTCATGCCACTTCATTTTTCCTCCTGGCATACTTTCCAACATACTTATTATACAATACCATATGTATTCCTTACTCTTTTGCTTGGTATATCTCCATTAGAAAATTCATATTGTCCTGTATTTTTAATTGTATAAATAAAATTTATATTTTTCTACTGGTTAGCAGTGTAATTTTCAGTTTGTTTCATTATAAGTAGGTTTTGTTTATTTTCTTTTATAAAATAAAGTCTATCAATTTAATACTTCCTATTTGACCCCTAGAATTCTCCCCAAAACCAAACTAGATCTCATTTAAAACACTTTCTATTTGATCTCTAGAATTCTCCCCAAATTCAAGTAAGGTCAATCTTATTAGATTTCCCCAGTTGGTAACATCTTTCAGATACACATGTCTCTTCTGACCCAGGCTTCCTGAGACCATAATTAAGCACAGGCTTAGTTAGAACAACTCTTGTTTTATTTCAACGCTGGGAATTATGTTCATTCCCAGCCTGTAATGAGTCCCAATCAGTCCCTCAAGAAAAGCACCCACCTTTCTCTCCTTTGAATTGCTGCCAATAACTAAGTGCTAAATTAACAAACAACCAACCAAGGTACAAAGTCCACACAGAGCTTCAAAGTTTAATCTGAACAGAGCGAACAACTTTGCTTCCTGCAAAGGTTTTTCTACCTTTGCACTTCCTTTATACTTTATGAAAGGGGCAATCACCTCCCAGCCTTACTCCCAAGTCGCCCCTTTTTGTCTTAACTGCTTTTGCCTTCTAGCAGTTGTGTGCACACACACACTGGGAACAGGCTCCCCTTGTTCCTCTGCCTTGCTGCTGCCAGACTGGAGGCTCCGTAATCAGCACACAACTCCCAGATGGTCCTGGCCCCATCTCTGCACCAGACGCAGGACTCTCATCCAAGTCTTCCCCAGACTCCTGAACTGGTCACTGTTCTTCCCCACTGTCCGATTCCACTGCCATCTGCACAGGGTGACGACGAACCACAACAACGTATATATGTACAAAGATATAATATGAACAGTAGACTCAGGACCCTAAGCAGACATTTCACTGGATAGATAGGTTAGGAGAATGGAGTCTTTAGTGCTGAGTTTGGTTGTTTTCTTGTGGATGTTTCATTATTCATTTAGGTAACCCCTTCAGTACCAAAATTGGGTTTTTGCTCTGTTTATATACAGTGTTTTGCTTTATCAATGTTGGTGAGTTGTTTTCTAAGTAGTTTCTTGTTTGGGGGTTGTTAACTACTTGACTGTTCACTGTTGGTCTGATATTAATCCTGGTGTTAATTTGTGCTTATCTGGGTTTTGATTACTGATTCATTTAACCATAGCAAAAAAAGTCATTAAATTGGGCGTGATTTATTTAACAACTGCCTTGCTTAGCAACAAAAAGTTCGCACCTAATTGAGGTCATAAGTCAAGAACTACCTGTAGTATATCAGACTACTGTTAGAAAGTTTAGAAAGAATATTCTATTTGACCATTTACACTCTTATTAAGGCTCAGAAACAAGGTGGATTTAAATCATGATTTAAATCATTAGTAAAAAGGCTTGATTTAAATTAACTAGATGAAAATCATAATTTTTAAAGAGCAACTGTCATCTCTGTCCTGCAGCAGCAGCTCCTTCTCTGACCTGTTGATTCACCGACACTCCCAATATTGCAGAATATACAGCCTCATGCTACATAACTAAGCTCCATTTCATGCTGAATAAACTAAATTATTAATGTATCTTAAATAGAAAACTATATTTAAATAGATTTTTACTCCAAATGCATTCTATTAAAATAAACTTGATTTTTAAAAAATCCAATTTAAGTTTTAAAAATCTGATTTTTTAAAAAAGAAATAAATTTTTATCCACCCTGCTCTGAAACCGTGCCTCATTTTGTTTTCTTTAAAATTAGTTGGCCATCTCACTCTTCACAGGCCTTGAAAGTAGGTTACCCAAGGAAGCTAGATAAGCTGTACATGGCTTTTCATTAGGTAAATATATTCTCAGAAAATTTAATGAGGCCTTGCATGGGAGGAAGTTCCTTATATAGGATGATGTGAGAATGGAACTGGGTAAAGAGGTGATATTGTAAAGGAGGGGCTGATTGTAATGTACATAACATCTTGTGCTGGATGAAGGGGTTTTTGCAGCCACACATCTAACAGTTTGCTGTCATCCTTTTTGGATGATGAATAAAGAACAATTTCATGCAGCTGGCTGGTTGTGGTTGTTTTTTTAACCCCAGCTCAGAAACAGGCTTGGTAAGGAATAAAAGTATTCCAATACTGCAATCCCAGCCATGGAATTCCAGGAGTTGATGTCCATATGTCTTGAAGTTGCCAGATTGAGAAATGTATTAAAACAAGTGGGAGCAATGATTAAGAGATGTGTAAAGGGAATCTAGCAAACTAAGAAGCTTGCTGGAAAGTTGCTATTGTGAAAATCAGGAAGAATAGCAATCTTAATGATGCAAAAAAGAGGGGAAACATTGTTTACATTTAAGGAAATAGGTATATTATGCAGGTGTTTTGTTACGGTGACATGGGGACATGCCAATGCCATGATACACTGTATCTCCTATTTTTTTTCAACTGTCAAGAATTCCTAGCAGGATTTTTGCTGCCTAGGAACTAACATACTGTAGCCTGAGTACAACAGTTTGAAAAAGGCTGGATGGAGAAAATGGGAATGACATTCTTAAAACTGGCATCTGAGTTCATTTCTGTATGAGGGGTGAGGTTCATCCTCAAGCTATCCACTTCTTTCCTACTTTCATTAAGCAATAGCTTTCTGCAAACAATTAACTTCGATGCAGCCAAATAAGTTTGAAATCAGCATCTCGCTAGATGGCAGTGTGGGAAACCTAAAATAATCTGCTACCTATTGCACTACAAATCCCACCATGCTTCAGAAAACACAAGCCCGCCTCCTGGTAGAAGTCCTTATTGGATTCCTGGGGTGAGTTTCTTCTTTGCAGTCATGTTTATTTTTTTTAGTGCTAAGAAACTATGAGAAGCCTGCGAGAGTAATTTTGGCTGCAGGGTTGTTGTTGTTGTTTTTTTTTGGGGGGGGGGGTGTTACTTCCTGAGACAAAAAGAAGTTTAGAAATTTTTAAATTGTTTTAGGCTTTGTCATGTAAGATATTGGAAGCCAAAGCAAACCGCTCCACCCGTACTTCCTTATGCCTAAATATGCGTTTTCTCTGAAGAGCAGCTGGAAACCTTGTTTCCAGTCTCGTGAGAAAGATCCCAGAAGATTAAGTTCCATAATGATTTGTGCCGTGTCATCAAAGACTAGTAGATATTTTAAATCCCCATATGATCTTTCAAAGGGGCAAGCAAAATGCAAGCAATTTATAGCTGTGTTTGCTCAACATATTGTCCCACTGTGTTAAAAGTTTGGTTAACAGTTTGTTCACCAAACTCTGCTCCATTCAATCCAATTTACTGTGTCTGCTGATTTATAAGCTACGGGAGCCTGACTAATCAGAATTAGCATGAAAATTTAATACTATTTTTTGTTCAACTTGCTTCAGCCCAGTCCTATCAGATTTCCATTCCTACAATCGTTCTTTTAAGGATTTATGAGAGGGGAAGTGTAGAGGACATCAAACTGGAGAAGATTGTTTCAGAAAATGTTGCCACATTAGTTTGCATTTTTTGACTGGTCCTGGGAAATGTGAACTCGGGCGTTTGAGAAAGTTAATATTTTTCAAATTTCATAAGCATTAATTAAAGTTTTTCAATGCCTTGAATCAGCCAGGATTTACAAAATAACAGGAACCTGGAACAACAGCAAAACTGAGAGAGGAATGACTTTTGTCATATGAAGCAAAGGCATAAGTCCAGCCCTTCCCTCTCCAGGATAATAAATGGCTTTGTTTTTTTAAAACCAGAGACAGAATTTCAGAGAAATAGATGTTTCTTCCTTATGAAAAATAATAATTTCATTAACAGTTTACCTTGTGGTGCCTTATTCTTTGAACTAATAAATCCTCATCCTTTCTTAGTTGAAGAATAACCACTCCTTTGACTGTTTAATCAATAATTGTCCCAACTTTTTGAAAAATTGCTTTCGATCAGGAAGACTAACATACCATAATACTGAAGGTCACAATTTACTGTATGTATAATGTACGTAAGTGGTTCTCCACCTGTGGTCTATGAACCCCTGAGGGCTGTGATGTCACAGAGAGTCCGGAAAGGCTTGAAAAAGTGTTATGATTTAAATCTTATGTTTTAGTGATCCATGGTCCATGGCCACAAAAGGAATCGAAAGGGGGTCTGTGGTGAAGAAAAGGTTGATATATATTTTCTGTGTTTTTTCTGAGGTAATTTAATGGGATTGAATTTTTTTGTTCCTCTTCAAGGCCTCGGATCAAGTACAAACCCTTCAGAGCATGTTTTCAAACTTAGGAACTTTAAATTGTATGGATTTCAACTCCTAGAATTCCCCAGCCAAGCATGTTAATTATTTGTTAGAAATCCCCCTTTAAACTTCCTTGCCAAATACAAAATTTAAAATCAGTGAGCATAAAGGGTTTTTTTGGAGATAACTATAAATTAAAGAGTGGACTGATCTGCTTCATATGAAAAAAAATAGGCTATGCAATTAGATACTTAAGTAATCCATTCTCAGACTCAAAACATTCAGATAATGTGCAGATAATGGGAACTACCAGAGGACTGGAAAAGAGCTGATGTGGTTCCCATCTTCAAAAAGGAAAAAAAACAGACCCAGGAAACTATAGACCAATCAGCCTAACATCAATACCCGGGAAGATACTGGAAAAGATAATAAAAAAACATCTAGAAACAAGTAAAGTAATAACTAGCAGTCAGCACGGGTTTGTTAAAAACAGATCATGCCAAACCAATCTTATTTCATTCTTCAACACAGTGACTAAATTAGTAGACCAGCAAAATACTGTGGACATAATATATTTAGATTTCAGCAAGGCATTCAATAAAGTAGACCACAACCTACTTCTTAGTAAGCT